TTGCGTGTACCCTCGAGAGACGAACAAAAAAGCTCGAGAAACTCTCGTATTAAAAAGTTCAGTGATTCTTTTGTAAAAAATTTAGAAAGTAACCGTACATCATTCAGCGACGAAACCCTTCAAAAAAATCGATCCCCTAAACTTTTAGCGGATATAGTTCAACGAAACTGCCCCATTTTTGTAATGAAACGTCAAATCCAAATTTTTTTACCGCGTACGTGCTGTTTTCTGTGTCGCAAGTTGCCCGTGGCAGAACAGTTCGAACCGATACTCTCCGAAACACTGGGGAGCCATTCGAGCCTGGTTTGATCCTCTCGCCGGGTATATTCTCGCGACGTTGCGTATATATATTTTACCAGCGTTTTTCTTGCAGCACTTTCCACCCCAAAGCAGAGCAGAGCGCCATAAATATAGCCGGCTCTAAGCGACGGCCAGTGAACTTATGCTATTCCCACGGCTGGTCGCGGTGGTCCTACCGCCAAAACACAACGCTCACGAGTCGAGCATATATTATTCACGCCTACACCGACGCAAGCCCCTGCCGGGACAGGTATTTTATGCCAGTTGGTCGATTACCAGTGTTTACACGTACCACAAAATAGTGAAATTCCGCGCTGTTTCATTATTAAGTATTTACCGGCTCCGAAGCAGCACGTTTAACAGGTTTTCACAGCCAAAACCGATTTCACGAAACATCCCACTCTGCGCTCTTCCATAACTTATACTTCCAATCCAACGCCTATGTTTGGATTAGCTTCACAAAAGACAGTTTCACAAAAGATAATCTAAAGTATGAGCCTTGCAAGTATTCAATATTTATTATCTGACAAATCGAACCAATCTATGGATGTAAAGAGATCTATGATTATATAAACACAGAAATGTTTAAGAATACGTATATCGTAAATTAATGAGCGTTCGGTAACGATATATATTTTCACCTCATAGTTGTCAGTAATAATAATCGATCGAATCAAATAAAAATTCTTAATGAAAGATTAGATGTATATTAGTTGGGAAGAGTTTAAAAATAAATTCTTGGAGAAACAGATTTCCACAAAAAGACGCAACGAGAAACTCTTGCCTCGAGTGCGATTTGCATGCCGAAATTGACTTTTATAAAATTGGCTCGTTCGCTTAACGAACTCGTAAAAACAAATTGAAGCGAACAGTCTTCCAACTATAATTGAAGACTGTGCTCAAATCGTTACGAACTTCCATTTAAAGTGCCAATTTTTAACGCTTATCGTGTTCAAATAAATTATAACAAACGTGGTCTTATAATTTCATTTCTTTAAACTTCAATTGCAATATTTCTTCTGAATTAATTTATATAAATTATTACCTATGAAGTTTGTCTGTACTTTGCCACGCAAGTACGTTTAATATCAACCAATTGAAACAACAAGCATCAATGGAACAGGACCAACAATGATATTGTTTTCCCAGAGGTATATAAATACGAAAAAAAAATTCTCGAACGATACATTCTAATTGGAGAAACTATTATCGCGAACCTTGATGGTCCAACAGCGTTCATTTCGATGGCGTTCTGCGCCAGTGACTCGAACGTCGAGATAAAAAGTGTCAATTATTCGCAACAAACATTCTCTTACTCGTCAATTATCGGAAACATAAAAGAACGCTGAAATTTCGCGACAAAAAGACGCTCCTCTGTGCAACGAAAAACGATTTCAAACAGAAAATGAAATTTTAATAACACAACATTTAAATCGCAACTGAAATTTAGAAGTTGTAAGGCCGATAACAGTTTTACTAAACGGTGAGAGTTTCTCGCAAGCCATTCTCAACTTCTTTACAAACCATATTAACTTCAGTACTATCCCTTTAAAAACGTAAACATCCTAAACGTCGTAAACGTACGCTGGTACTTTGAAAAGTTGTTACGAAGAGTCGATTTTACGATATAAACTCCAAAGGCACAATGTCCTCGTTACATTGTTGTGAACGCTAAAACTTTCGACGTAGAATAGTTTACCGTTCGTCAGAGAATAACGTAATAGTTTGCGTTTACGATGCCGAGAATAGCGTTACGTCACGAACAATTACGAAATACTGTTCCTCCAAGATATGTTTATGCGTACTGTCTTTTGTTCAAGCTTTCGTTCAAAATATGAAAGCCTCGAGGGCAAAGCACTCTGCTGGGAACTGTTACTAATCTCATAAAAACAAATAGAACGCAATCCAATCATACTGCGCCATGCGACTCGTTAATCCTCGGAAGAAACGAAACGGTTCGAAATAGTCATTCTGGAAACATAATTTCAGAGAACGGTCGCAGTATCGTTCCACGGGATCGTTCGAGAAACGAAATCGTGCTGTTATTCTCCGACTTACCGAACCGATTTCGAATTAAACTCCGCGAATTTTCAATCTATCGATTTTTACTTTTCAAAACTTCACGAACCTTTTCCATTCGACGAAGGAATACCAAAAACGGAGAAACGAGGGTTCTATGAGCCACGAAAGTCGCTGAACGCTAACCAGCGAAGCTGGATAACATAAAAGAAACAACGAAGCTTATTAACAGAGAAAGAGAAACGAATGAAAATAGCGAAGCGTTAAACTACTGGAATTTTAACGAGGAAACGGTCAAGTTTAACGTTGAAATAATCGAGACACGTCGTCGGGATACCTCTGTTTTAATTCCATTTAAACGAAGTCTTAATTAGAATGTATTTACTACGATGTGTTACGTTTAATTTCTCTGTATCGTTTTATTCCGCATTTGATATCGAAGTCGATGAAACTTTTGCATTTTAAATCGTAAACGTTGATTAAATATTTTTTTACTGGTCTCGATGAGTGTTAAAATCCTCGAACGCGCCTGGAAACAATTTCTCACTGCAACAATATCTACCTTCCGGCAGCCAGATCCGTCGTTGTACGCGTGGCTTTCAATAAACGAGGAAAATGTTATCAGTTTCCAGGGGTCAGGCATTGCCTGGCCATCGACTTCCCAGCGAATGCGGAAAGTTTCGCGGTGCACAATCGTCCCGATTCCAGATACATATGTGCAATGGACGCAACGCGTTCACACGGACGCGGAGTACATGGAAACGGTGGCACAACCGCGGCTGCTGTATCGCCATTGAGGAACAACGAACACTATGGTCGTACCGAAGCTTTAAGGTCGGAAAATACAGAGGAGAAACCGCCACTTGTCGAGTCCAGACAATTTTCGCGGGCAAATAGGTCGAAACGCGTACAACGATTTTAGCTGTTCGCGGATTCACGCGCGTCTCGATTTTTAACAGCCGACGAGAGGAGTTTAAGGGAGCACGGGTGCGTCGTTAACGAGACACAGAAGTGTCCTCGTGAGATTTTAGGCCGCATTAATGAGAGGAAATTGTGGTAAATAGAAAGGATGACACTTCAATCGGGTAGCACGGGTTATTACATCGCGGAGTGGAATTAGTGTTTCTTTGTTCGGGAGTAATTGTAATCGGGAGATTTAGTGAAAGCGAAAGGATTAAAAGAAGTTTGTGGTTTGGAAGATTCTGCGTCGTTTAAGAATCGAATATTTAAGTTTAATTGTTACGGGAAATGTATAAGTTCGTACGTTTGTATAATAATTACATTCAATGAATTTTATAACTTGATTGTAGATAAAGTGTTATTGGAAGTTGATAAATGATACCAGTATGATTAGGGTTTGAAACAAATAGAGGATCTGTACATCTGGAAGTATAAAGAAATTGATTAAATATAAATTACTTCTACATTTATTACAGGTAATTAATGTGGTAATAGGGAAAATAATCTTGAACTTAAATGAGTGCTGTAGGATATAATTTTAGTGAATTGGAGTGAGAATTCTACTCACATGCTAAAGTAGAATTACAATATAAGGTAAGCACATCATTAATGGAAACTTTTAAGGTATTTTTCGTCAATTATCTCCTACATTGCCCCTTTATTATAAAATAAAAGAAATATCGTATAATTTTTCCCTGAACCTAAAACTTGCTTCAATAGTTAATGTATTTATGAAATAAAAGTTTCAATACTCGACACTTTCTATTTCATTAGACATTAAAGAACATAAACAACATTGTATATTTTGTGGAATGAATTAATTCTAAGAATAAAGGGTTAACAGATGGCAGAATTTGTTGCTTGTCTAGATTAAAAGCATCATAAAATACGAAAACCATAAATGTTTGCAAATATTATAAAACAGTATTCGAATCACTACAGGCAGGAAAATTTGAATTCTGGAACGGTACAATAGTCCTACGTCCTTTTTTCTTTCGAATTCTCCACTATTGACACAGTATCATACTGTAAAACAGATTCTCCGAATAACCCAATAAAAATCCCACGAATAGAACTAACATTCGCCCACTGAGAAAAACAAACGAAAATACGAATTCGACCCCACGTGCATTTAAAGGTAAGCATCCTGCACGGTTCACCCTACGATCATTTATAACCTACGATAACAGATATCAACCGTACCGACAACGCAACAAACAGCATCGCCTAATACCCAACAGTAATCTCGGCGTAAAAGTCACAGGGGTCACGACACGATCAACAGACACACGACAAGCCAACAGCCCACGTGGTCCTAAAGCCACCTTTCGCGAGCAATCGAGACGATATCGCACGGAATCAGACCGATCTCGTTCGTATCGTTCACGATTCCAGCCCCTCTGACACCTGACCGTCGAAAACATCGCGCAACGAGTCACGTACACGATATCTTACCCGTTACGTTTGCCCGCCAGCTGTTGGCGTAAACGAAAATAAAGGAAACCTAACCTCCGACAACGGGTAGTCGAGAGAATTTACGGTTACGCGGTTATCAGCATTCTATCGATGGCAGGCGTATCGCGAAGACGCGAACGTATGTTTACACTCACAGACACGAACGTACGAAGACGTGGGTACGTGGGTGGCGAAACCTCGCGGGGTCGTTAGCTCTCGTGCACTGCACGAACACGATGGAGGGTGATCTTGGGAAATGGACTCACCTTTCGCGCGTAGGACGGGACCGGAAGACAGGTACTGGCTGGTGAACGGCTGGTGCCGGGCCTAACGGCGCACACAGTGTGGACGATACATCGAGCACAGGTGTACAATCTCCGAAGACGCGGCTACGCCGCTCGAGTGATCGGTGTGGACTGCAGAAAAGCCCGCAGATGATATCAGAGACTTAGGGGAGACTGCATGACATCATCGCCGGCCAATCGCCGCGCGGACGCCATCGCGCTTGCGCGTCGCCCCTCGACGCCGGAGCTCTTGCGATATATCGCAATCGATTGCTCAACTTCGCGCCCCCCGACCGACGCGGGCTCTGCCGGAAGTGATGGAAACCTCCGTACGAAATCGCGCGGGAAACTGTACGTAATTATCAGTACATTAAAACCGATTCGTTGGAAATTATTCTTTATCCACTTTTGGTTGAATAATATTCTGCGTCTATAGAACGTTTCGAACTTGTCGAAAGCTACATTTAGAAATATATTCCATCGATTCTAAAAACAAATATAGTAATGAATGTAGGAAAAATGATATTATATAAAGGAAAGTGGAAAGAAATATAACAAAAATAATAATAATTCTTTATACGACAATCTTTTCATTTAAAATCGTTATGGATTAGAAATCAGTTCGATCTCGTCGAAAACTACATTTAGAAATATATTCCATCAATTCTAGATATAAATATAGTAAAGAGTATATCGTATTGAAAAGTGATATTACATCAAGAAAACAGAAAACAAATATAATAAAAATAAGATCGTTATGAATTAGAAATCAGTTCGACTATGTCAAAAGCTACATTTAGAAATATATTCCATCGATTCTAAAAACAAATATAATAGAAATAATAACAATTCATTATACGACAATCTTTTCACTTAAAATCGTTATGGATTAGAAACAACTTCGAGTAATAATTGGAATATTAACTCGTATTTAAAAATACAATTTAACGTAATCCGTACAATGAAGTTTTATTCGATCGTTCGCCGTTTCAACGAAGTTTTCCAAGTTTACGACGGGGGAAGAAACAGAGTTGCGAGAAGCAGAACCAATTGCGTTAATGACGGCCGCGATGGAGTTGCTTTCAAAGAATTTTCCATTGAATCGGGAACCACGGGATCTAGTTACACGCCGATAACGCGAGATTCCGTGCTTCGAATCAGAAAACGTCACCGCGCCAGAGATTGGATAGGTTGTCGTTCCACTAGGTGGACGAAGTTAATTGCCGCGAATAGCAATTTCTCGTGCGATGCGCGTTTGACGTAACCGGCTTTTCGCGATGATCGTTACCCCGCCGAGACTCGTAGCATGAATATTCCTCGCGGTAAACGTCGCGAATAAGGCAGACGACGGTCCGGGTTTCACGAAAAAACGATTTTCGGCCCGCGTTAATGACACCTGGAGAGCCTGACGTCGAAAAAATTTGTATTCACCGAGCGGCAAGTGAATTTCCGCGGTCGTAAAACGAATGGAAAACGATGGACTTAAACTTAATCGAATTCACGATTGTGTACCCAAAGCTAAGAATTGAATATTTATAAGTATTTTAAAATTACGTCGAAGAAACACCGTACCGGTACCTAACAGAGTAAACAATATTGCTTCTCGTATAAAAGATGATTTATTGTTCGTAAAGAATACTTAAACACGCTGATCTGGAAATATCTGTTTTGCAGCGAGTTTATAATTACGATAAGTGACAGAATTCCAGCGAGTAAAGAATAAAATACTGCACCAGCTTAGTTATATTCACTGTGTGTTTTGATTGGTTGCCAAAATATTCGGATCTTTAAGTGCTGTTTTTTGTGGCGCAGACTAATTTAAAGAAACATGACTATTCAATCCAGAGCTGGTTTTATAAATAAATTACACAGTGTCAAGGAACTTTTCAAGCACAACGGGAATCCATTATCAGAAAAATATCGATTATCCTAAAATAACCATATTGTTACTTAAAATGCGTGAACAGTATATTGACTTCTTTTACAGTATGTATTGGCATTTATAATGCTACCGATACCATTTCTAATATCTTTGTATTTATTTCGTGTTCAACCATTACTCAATTGTTTCCTTTGTATGTATTACGAAGGTATTTGAGAAATCACTTTCTATTTTATTTTGAAAGTTACTGCACAACGTTTGGATCTCAGTGGATATAATTGAACAATCATTAGAAAGTCTAAAATTATCCTTGCAACGTAAATTAATTTATTTTGTTAAAATTTTATAAGCGATAATGTTTGACTATGTAAAATCCACATTTGTAGTTCCTTGCATATTACATCTTTCGTACTTTCGCCTGTCTATTTATCACACAAATAAAGTTTCTTTCATCAATACCTGTGGCTTCAAAAACAAATTTGTCGATATCGATATTGTTGATCGAAGATCTCAACAAGTTCGTTCGATCTCAAAACGCGAGTGACGGTCGCCGTCATTTTCATTTGCGGTTTAACTACTCCGCGACACGTAATTGCGCTAATATCCGACGAGATGCGTCTCCACCCCCGTCTTCGCCGCAGAAAAGCCCTACGCTCGTGTGCTCTCGTACTCGAAACAATTTCCCCGTCGATGGAAAAGCTTTTCCGGTGCGCGAGCACGCGGCCGCTCGAGGGAGCGCGGGTGCTGCAATATGTCGCATAATTCGACCATTCCTCATACCATTTCTCCGCGAACGCTTCGGAGGGAACAAACTTCGAACATGTGTACGCTTGCATGTACGCTTTCGCCTTTTCATAAATACACGAGGCGGACGCGGCCCCGCGTCCCGTTCAGCTCTCAAAGACAAAGTCGCGAAACGCAAACCGATCCAGGGAAATATCGGGATTGTATAGGATTTTACTCGACGACCGTGCACTGTCGAGAATCGAAGGAACGTTGGTGTCCCTCTTTGTGTCGTATCGGAAGAAATATCCATGGACTCGCGACGTACAGTTTTCACTTCGAGCGGAAATTTTTAACGTTTCGACGACTCGGATACCGTCCAACGGGGGCAACAATTTATCATCAACCTTCGGTCTTAAACCCCAGGCGATTTGATATCGGAATTTGTTATCCCTTTCGAACCCTCTGCTGGAACGTATCGTAAACACGACGAGAACATTTTTGATACAAAGACACGACCATCGTTGTGAATTTTTTGACTTTTAACTAGTTTCTCACGTATTATACTTGAATCATCGACTCTGATGAATTTTGAATCATTAAAATCCTTCAATCCGTTCGGAAGTTATGATGTTTCAAACATACGCATGAAACTTCAGGGGAATCGTTCATTCGTGGTCAGACATTATATTTTCGGTAAGGAATTTTTTTCTCGAAACTGCGTAGAATTTCGGGGGTATGTGTATCGATGAAAAATGATTGCAATTAACCCTCCTAGCTAAAAATAATTTTTTTAGAATGATTTGAAATTTTTTTTTCACCAAAAAATTTCTCCGCCTATAGAAATTTTTTTCTCGAAAGTGCGTAGGATTTCGGGGGTATGTGTATCGATGAAAAATGATTGTAATTAACCCCCCTAGCCAAAAATAATTTTTTTAGAATGATTTTAAATTTTTTTTTCACCGAAAAATTTCTCCGCCTATTGAAATTTTTTTCTCGAAAGTGCGTAGGATTTCGGGGGTAAGTTTGTTCACCAAAAATGATTGTAATTGACCCCTGCATCCGAAAATAATTTTTTTAGAACGATTTGGAATTATTTAATTTTGCAAAAGGGCCAACTTTGGTGCTCTAGTTCTTTTTTAAGCTTGCATTGCCTTCAGTGATATTTGCAACATAAATTTCGAAATTCTTTTTAAATATGTGAGGACCTATCAACTAACATAGTTTATTAGTCCTTTTTCAGAGCTATCGACGATTACTTCGTCTTCTATGACAGTGTTTACTTCGAAACAAGCACGATATATCGTATTTCGAGTATCTCCCGAGGAGAAATGTCCCAAAGAGCGGATGAAAACGGTCCGTTGCTCGATCCTTTGTCACCTTACCACGAAAGGCGTTCGCGTAAGCCGCTTTTCTCACCGGGTCGTCGAAATATGTAAAATTATTCCCACAGACGGCCCGTGCGTGACGGCGACTTCTGCCGCCGTGTTCCTTGGAACCATCGTCAAATATTTGCGACGCTTCCGGTAACACACAGACGCGAGCGTCGCTCGGGTGCAGGACAGGCAGGGTGCAACGCTCGCATGGGAGACAACATTATCATGCAACCGAATACAAAAGCCTCCTTTGTAAAGGCAAGGTGAAATTGCCGTTGAAAAAGCGTGTCGAGTGCTTCTGAACTACGAGCATAGAAAGCGGAGAAAGGAACCGTGGAAAGGTGGTAATTCTCTGGGAAACTTTCCGTCTTTCCAGGTCGAGCGCCGGTAATTTGGAAGGGACGAAACTGTTGACCCCGTGGATCGCCGCGAAGACGAACGCGGGGGTTTCTTCGTCGTTCATGTGTTACATACCGGAAACACATATACGCGCGTGTCATCGTCCCGGTCTCGTTCGTCCATCTTGCAATTAACACTTTGTTAGACATCACCTTCTCCTCGTCGTTTCGTTAACCCTTTGAAATCCACGAGCCTTCGTTAATGTGAACAATTAGCAACACCATTGCAATTTTGTGATTATCAAAAATAAGAAAATATTTTCGACGCAAATATATAAATACCTGTGATTCAAATTTTAATTTAAATTTCATACATTCACTTTGTGTTATCATAAATGAAATTTGAGTCGAGCTGTGGTACTTATTGTGTCTGTCGTGGAGTGCAAAAGATTAAAAGGCTATTCCGGTCTTTCCCCGAAGATACAAACGATTTAAAATAACACACTGAAAACTGTGTTTATTGTCGCTTTTTGTGATATTGTACCCATCGATAACGGTCGACAGAAGCGTGGAATAAATAATTACGACAGGGATCTTGTTCGCCGAGCAAAGCAGAATTGGATCGGAGGCAAACGCTATAACTGATTAGTTCTTTACAATGAAACGAGTAAGGGGGAGGAAGATCGATTACACCAAGGAAGGAGAAATCCGTACGTACGAATCAATCACCGAAGCAAGTTGGCGGATTAAGCTTTACAATGCCCTCCTATCGTCCGAATCGATCCGCGAAGGAACGACGATACAACGAAATTCTCTGCACGACCGATTCGAATAAGCAATTCCAGATATCCGAGATCACGTGTCAACAAACGACACCTACTTCTTTTGGTAACGTGA